GATGCTGCCTGGCCTGCTGTGCTCCTCCAGCTCCACACTGCATTATCTCTGACTCCAGAATCGGCAGTTCTTACTATCTCTGAGACTCAACTATTCGAATCCCATTTTCTAGTGCCTATTCCATAGCTTTCTATGCCTTGGCATCATAAGTGCACATCCAAATGCTTCTTAAATGTTTGCATCTTGGATGGTTTCCAATGGAACTTTCAATGCCAGTATAAACAGTAATAAGAACTAAGCATTTTCATGTTTAATTTCATGATATAGATAAAAATAGAACAATTTTAAGTAACTAATATGCATACCTGTACATCAAAGCCATTTTATAACTGCTGAATCCAGGTTAAATTTTGGTGAAATAAAGTGGATGGAACCCTTTTGTTTGCATCTGTGAGAAAAACATGCAGCTATCAGTCAAGCTAAATTACTGAATTGTGCGTCATTGTGAATGGACAGTAGAGCATGTTTGTTATTCTAACTTTAATCTTTCATTTAAACTAACGCTAATTTATATTAAAGCAAGAGTTAAACTAATAGCAATTATTGTGCTTTTGATCTTTCTGACAAGCAATAATTCAAATAATTACTTAGTCTCAAAATGAGTAATTGTGAGGTAAACATTATCTGAAGTGAAACTGGTATAAAGTCTTTGATAACAAGTAACTTTTAGTGGCCACAAAACCCTCGGGATGGTCCCTTGCTCACTTCTATATTGCAATATGAGGGAGATGGTTGTCTAGTGTTAAAGTTACTGTTTCAGAGGTGCTAGCTAATACCCTTGGGACAGCTGTTCAAATCCCACCTAGCTAGCTGGTGGAATTTAAATTGAAGAAATCGTTTAAAATCTTGAATTGTGAGCTACTCTTAGCAATGGTGACTCTTTTATTGAGTGTTTGATGCCAGACTATGAATTTGGTTTCTTTATAGACTGGACAAAGAGACGGCAAAGTCAAAGAACGTTTTTTTTTGGTTTAGCCTTCAAAGTAACACTATTTATTATGCATTAACATTAAGTACTACCGTGCAATGTAATCATAGATATATCAAGCTCTGACCATCTAGTCATAATAGGCAAGATATGAACTATCTTCTTTCTAGGTTCATAGCCAAATCAAATCAGCCTCCCTATCCTTGTATTCACAATACAATAAAATCAAAATATTCAATGACCCCCAAAATTGACCCAAATGATCAGACTTTCTGAATAACGGATACCAGGGGTTTATAGCTTAAACAAAAGATTGAACAATTTATTAATAATACAGTAGCTTTAGCAGAGCAAAGTTAAGCGTTGAGATAATCTAAATAATGTATATGATTTGAGCTTAGTCATTTTTGTTTCTAGACCCCACTCTCACATAAAGACAAGCATTTAAACAGATACAGTTAAGACAAAAATCAAAAGAAAAAGAAATAAATGAGACGTAAGTGGCTAGTTCTCTTAAACAGACTCCATAGTCTATAGTTTCACTACCACATGATTGTGTCTTGCTTGGTATCTGATGACACTGAAGCAAGTAGATAGCTTCCAGTAGGCTTTGAGGAATATTCATTGAATTCTTATAACCAAGATTCTATTCTCTGTACTTTCAATACGTTGAAAATGAGAATCAAGCCTTTGTCCTGTACCTCTTGCAGGAATACTTCTTCTGTCTTAAACACAGTTCAAAAACTAGTTCAACTTCTGTCCTCTCCCTGGCAAACTGGCTGCCTCCCTACAAGGTCTCAGTTAAAGTTCAACATCTATGAAAATGGTAAAAAAGAACAGTGGATGCTGGAAATCAGAAACAAAAACAAAAACGGAAATAGCTGGAAAGACTCAGCAGCTCTGGCAGTAACTGTGGAGAGAAAGCAGAGTTAATGTTTTGGGTCCAGTAACCTTTCTTTAGACTAGTTCAGAACACTGTTCTGAAGAAGGGTCTCCAGATCTGAAATGTTAACTCTGCTTTTTCTCTACAAAGCTGACAGATCTCCTGAGTTTCTCTAGCAATTTCTGTTTTTGTTTTGGTTTATCATCTGCCATCTATTTGAGCATAATGACTTTCCAGAACCAAAATGTCTACAGAGCATTCTTTGAACAAGAATCAACCTGTAATTAACTTCCAGGCCTGGCCTCATAAACAAACAACTGTCCACTTGTTCTCCTATTTCTTTTTAAAGCAAGCTGCTGCTCACAGTCCAAAGGTCGTCTTCAGCTCTCAGCTCACAGTTCACAGCACACAGCTCCAAACCAAAAATGATAAAAAATAAAAAATGAATAATGAAGATCTCAACTTCCTGAAAGAGTATCGCAGTCTGCTTCCAGTGTGTCTAAAATTCCAGCGTGGTCTGCCTGAGTTTCTTTCAGGGCCATTACTCCACCCACTCTGTCCATGATATACACCTCATCATCCTAAGATTGCTCCAGGGTCCCAATGTGCTTACTCAACAGTGACTGTGAAATATTGCTTGTCATTGAAAACTCATCTGCTTCACTAATATCCTGCGGGAAAGATATCTGCCAACATTACTTGCTTTGGCCCACATGTACCTTCAGGCCCACACCAAATGATTGACTGTTCATTACCATCTGCAATGACTGAACAAGTTCATGGGTAGTTGGGGCAGGAGAGTAAACACTGGCCTTGCTGATGATGCTCACAATCCATAAAAGAATAAATAATTAAAGGAAAACTACATTTTTGTTAGTTATTTCAAATTGCCCAATTTACTTTGTTATTTACCTTTCCTCATCATACAGAAATCATTTTATATGGACTAAAGATTCTCATCAGTTTTCCTGGGAAATTTTTATGTCCCAATCTGAAAATCTCATGACCTTGTATTTACTCTCTTCGTAAATTTTAAGTATTATCAGCTGTCAAATGGGCCTGTTGGAGGTACGCCAGACAGTAATGCTGTTTAAAAATACCATTTGAGAATCTTCAATTGCCTAACTAAGCAGTTTTCTCCTGTGTTGCACCAGGCAAGTTTAAAGTCAATTGTAACAATTGCATATTTGTATAGAAATATTCCAGGACATCATATGAGGTTATAATTATAATCTGAGTAATCATAGCTCTGTAATGTACAAAATTTCTTCGAGTACTCATAATTTTTTTAAATAATTCAGGGGAAATGGGCCTCACTCGCTAGGCCAGCATTTACTACCCAAACCTAATTGCCTTTGAGAAGATGTTGATGACTCACCTTCTTGAATCATTGCAGCCCATTTGGTGTAGGAACACTTAAAATGTTGTTGGGAGGGAGTTCGAGAATTTTTACACAGCGACAGTGAAGGAACAGTGTTGTGTTTCCTATATCAGGATGGTGAGGAACTTGGAGGTGATCTTGATGATGGTGGTGTTCCTATTTATCTGCTGTCATTGTTCTTCTAGATAGTAGTGGTTGTGGTGCTGTCTAAGAAGCCCTGGTGAATTTCTACAGTGCATCTATTAAATGGTACATCTTTGTTGCTACTAAGCATCGTTGATGGATGGAGTGAATGTTACCACATCCACTAACAATCAAGTAGCTGCTGGTCTTGGATGGTGTCAAGCTCCTTGAGTTTGTTAGAGCTTCACTCAATCAGGCAAGTGGGGAGTATTCATGACACTCCTGATT